AAAAAAACAATGCTTTAAAAAAATTTAAAAAATAAAATAAAATAAAATAACTGAATCATCTTAGGATAGCCTGCGTCCAAACCACCTTTCACGCCGGTAGCCTTCCAGATCCCCTTGCTGTCTGTGCACAGCTTCCCCATATGTAGCCTTTGAACAGTCTTCAAAGTGCTCTACTCTGCCTGGATTTTCTTATCTTCACCTGCCCTAATCCTCTCACCTTTTACAGTGTATGTGTCCAGAGAGCCTTTTGCCAGATGTTACGCCTTGCTCCCCATGCCTGAGTCATGCTGAATTACGTACGTCCTCTTTCAGCGCCTCCGGCATTTTTCTACACAGCATCGATTCTCTGTTTGGACACTGGTATTGCTTCACTGGCCCAGAAGATCATGAGCCCTTCCGTGAAAGTTAGCATAGCTTAGCGGCCCCTGTATCCCTGAGCCTGCTATGGTGTCTGGCACATCCCCGGCACTCAAAAATCTCTGCTATCCTGATAAGGATGTCATTGTTCACTGTTGCCAAAAATTAACCCACAGATCGTGATCTATCTGGGATGTATAAAGGGCTATGGAGTTCCCAGGACCAAAAGATGCAGTGAGCACTCTTGTAACCATCTCAAAACTTGAAGCAGGGGGGTGCATTAATAAGAAAGGAATTTGTCTACAAGCTACAGGAATTTGCAGGAATCCTGGCAAGAATATAAAAATATGAACAATAAACTGTAAATTCTTTGTATGGGTGGGAAAAAGAATGAAATTGGGGAAATGTATAATAGTAATAAGCCAGTGCATGTTATTATAGATGTAATCCTTTAGAACATATGTTTTAATGCTCGAACAGATGGTCTGAGGCACACTCATCGCCCAAGGGGCTCCATGAAAAAAGGGCTCTGTAGTCAAAACTATGATAGGGCAACAATGCCAACAACTTCCTCTTGGGAGAGCCGCCAGTGCAGTAAGAAAGGCACCATGTTGGCAGTAGAGAAATTGGCGGTCCAGTGGTTAGGACTCCGCGCTTCCACTGCAGGGAGCACGGGTTCGATCCCTGGTCAGAACTAAGTTCCTGCATGATGAACAGTGTGGCCAAAAAAAAAAATTGGCTTAACTTCATTGAACTTAGTCCTTTTCTTCCTTCGCAGCATCCATTAAAATTCCTTGTAACTTACACACTATAGAACACATTTGTTCTAAACAGCTTAGACATTTAAGAAAGGTATCTAAGGAATTACTATTTTCATTTTACAGAGGAGGTAATGAAGACTTAAGAAAATAGATTGGTTTAGAGTCACACAGATAAGCCATAGAGCCAATCACTCGTGAATTTCGTATTTGTTGTTTGTGTTTAACACGTACCAGGCCCTGTGGTTGGCACCCGGCCCCCGTTCTAGGGTGCAGGCCGTCTTCCAAATCTCAGGTCACCGAATCCTAGACTCTTAGAACTGAAAGGGTCCGTAAGAGACTATTTAGTGCAAGCACTTCATTATCAGAAGAGGAAAGGGAGCCTCAGAAAAGCTAAACCACCCCGTGAAATTCTACATATAAAAAGAGGCAGGACTGGAATTCAAAGCCAGGACTTGGTCTCCTAGCCCTGTTCTCACCATACACCACTCTGCCTTCAGAAACACTCTTGAAGTATAAAATCTACTGTGCTTGGAAATCCTTCCAAGACCTTTTATTTTTCACCTCACCTGGGTCTTGATACGATTCCAAAGCCAGCATAAACCCAGATGAGGATGGTGTTGATTCTGCTCAGAAAATACTAAGGAATATTTTGCTCTTTTAATCATTTCCCTGGCATATTTAACGAATTGAAGGGCACTTACCTATTTCCACGAACAATCAAACTTTTTCTACGAACTAAAAATGACACACTTCCAAAATTGAATGTGTACTTTTATTGTAAATGTCTCATTTTAATGTCTTGGGTAGCTGAGAATGCTTGAGTTTTGGAAAATTCATGTTGGAACATGAACTTTTATGAGCCCTGAGATCCCCTCCAGGGAAGTGTTTCTTCCTTTTGTCTACAGATTTGATGAAAGATATGAATCCTCTGTCCCAGAAAAAATAAACGTTAGTACAGTGTTGCCCGCCATTTCAGAGGGTTCTTAGACCCCATTAAAGCTCCTACTCTATGATGTGACTTTGCAAAATCATCTATGTACCTGCTTCCTTCAACTCTTGTTTTTGAGGATGTCCATCTTCTCTATTTGAGAGCTGCAGTCATGAATTAGGAATATGGGTCCCTGAGCCAGGAGTAATTAAAATTTACCTTAAAGTTTCCTCTAAAACAGCTACAACTATTGTAAACCAATTACAAGCAACTACAAAGATAGATCCTTAAAATAAATATTTGCATGATTTAGCTGTAGTGTATTGAACCATCCTTAAATGGATGGAAAGTAGGGCATACTTGGTGCTTCCCAGCTTTTCTAAGACCTACCCAGAGATAACACGGGAGGAGATTTAAGGGTAAACATAAAAAGAAACAGAAGAAACACTTGGGGGACTTCCCTGGTGGTCCAGCAGTTAAGACTGCGCTTCCATGGCAGGGGGCACGGGTTCAATCCCTGGTCAGAGAAATAAGATCCCGCATACCACAGGGCTTGGCAAAAAAAAAAAAAAAAAAAATCTGTAAAGAAACACTTCACTAGAGTGAAATTTGGAATGATCTGGAAGCCTTCATTAGAGTGAAATCTGGAATGATTATAAATCAACACTGTGGCGTCTCCATCCCCTCTCCCCTGCTTGGGATAGTTCAAATCTCTTGTTCTCCAGAATCAGGCAGATGAGCTTGACCTCTCACTAGATGGTACTGGTGGTCTCCCAGTCTTAGCTTTCCCAGCCACCTTTCCCAACAATTTCCAGTGAAAACATTCTTCACTGGAACATTCTTCACTGGAAGAAAGGCCAAAAAGGGAGGTCAAGAAAGTCAGTTTTAAACAACTAATGTTGGGAATTCCCTGTCAGTCCAGTGGTTAGGACTCGGTGCTTTCACTGCCGGGGTTCAGTCCTTGGTTGGGGAACTAAGATCCCACATGCCATGTGGCGTGGCCAAAAAAAAAAAAAAAAAAAAAAATTAAAGCAACTAATGTTTTCCACCAACTTAAGAGTTTAAAATGTCAATTGCTGGGACTTCCCAGGTGGTCCAGTGGTAAGGAATCCGCCTTCCAATGCACAGGTTGTGGGTTCAATCCCTGGTCAAGGAACTAAGATCACACGTGTCTTGGGGCAACTAAGCCCGCGCACCACAACTACTGAGCCCGCGAGCCTCAACTAGAGAGCCTGTGTACCGCAAACTACACAGCCCACATGCTCTGGAGCCCTCGCACCACAACTCAGAGAAAACCCACATGCCACAACTAGAGAGAAGCCCTCGCACTACAACGAAAAGCCCATGCAATGCGCTGCACCTAAGACCAGAGGCAGCCAAAAAAAAAAAAAAAAAAAAAAAAAGTCAATTGCCAAAGACAAAGCAAAGAAAACATGAAATGAAAGTCACTCTGTAGTTGGAGAGGAGCCCCATGTCTGTGGACTGTGTACTAGTTACAAAAGGTCTAGAAGAGCACTCTCACCGGGACATTCCAGTGACAGATTTAGGTTAAATCCATGACTATAGCAAATAAGGTAGTATGGGAGCCTGTGCATTACAGAGGGTCGATCTATGGACAAACACATCAGCGTGGATTTTGTTTTACTAGCTAGCAGGCGGGTGCCATGTGAGCCAAGCCAACTTTGAAAGAGAAGGGAAGTAACATTTTCTTTGCTTCTGTCTGTAACCGGGTGAGTCTGGTTGGTAAGGGCTTGCTCAATTCATAGATCTTAGCACCTCCTCTCAAAAGTCCTCAGTCAGATGTCCAGCCGAAGCTCTGGAGGAGAAGTGTTTACCCAGCTGGGACCCTCACCAAGTTCCTTCCAGGTCTTAGCAAGTTACCGGTCAAGGCTTCACAGCCAAATGCTGAAGCCGGTGTTAAAGCAAGTACATACCTGTGGCAGCTTCATGTCATTAATATCCCAGCTTAACGTCTCTTTGTCCTCAGAATCAACGTTCTCAAGTTCCATGATAAAATCGGGTCGCCCACAGGTTTCCATCTGTCCAACTGCCCTCAGGAGTGCTTGAGAATTTTGCTCTCAAAGGCTCTTAACACAGTTGGATTAGTCCGCCCAGGCAGTTTAGACCAGTGGACTGTCTTCTGACACTAAAAAATAAATGACAGTAATACTGACCATTAAAGTGATAAAAATCAGTGCTCGTCTGCCAGAAAAGCCTGTTTCATTGATATTTTGGCAAGCACCAACATACAAACAAAACCAAAATGTAGGAGCCCTTAGTGACCTTGCTGAAATAAAGCTTGACCTTGGGAAATCAAAAGGAGATCATCACTTTCACTCTCAGATTTAGGCTTCCTTCCTCATTGCTAGCCCCAAGCAGGAAGGCCTTAGTAAGGACCGTTGTCACCTGTAGCCAATGGTTAAAACCTTATCCTCCGTGTACCTGTGTTGGGGCAGGAGGGATAACTGGCTTAGAGTTGTTTCCATGGATACACCTTCATAAATTAGCTAACCTGGAGTGTGTTACAAGAGGGGAACATCACAAGCAGATGTGTCTAGAAGTCTTTTTTAAAATCTAAATTTCCATAGAGATGAACAATCCAGTATGTATTTTATATCTTCAAATATCATCAAACGATAGACTCCTCTAAAACCTTGGCGATATTGACATTTCAAACCTGATAACTCTTTGTGGTGGAGGTTACCCTGTGCATTGTAGGATGTTCAGTAGCATCCTTGGTCTCTGCCCATTAGGTGTCAGTAGGAACCCACCCCTCTTTGTTAAAAAATATCTCCAGACATTGCCAAATGTCCCCTGGGGGTAAAAACTGTTTGAGAACTATTGCTCTAAAATAGTGTTTCTCAACTTTGTTTAATTCAAAGCACCCTTCAAGACTTTCTGGCTGTATCTTTAGCAATCTCACTCTTCCCTGCCCCCTACAAGAAAATTCTGTCTGACTTTACTCTGATTAAATTGTATTGTATAAACAATAGATGTTCAAAAATGTTTGTGCAAACTGTGTTTTTTTCCCACCATGAGAAATACTAGTTTCTAGTTATAATTGGTTAAAGGGGATTTACCCCCCACCAAAAAAAAAAAAGAAAGAAAGAAAGAAAAGAAAAAGAAAAGAAAAGGAAAAAAAAAAGAAGGAAAGAAATTTAAAGTGTTCAAGTCTGGGGGAAAAAAGACAATCATTTTGAGATGAAATGTGCTTGTTAGCAGAATATGAAGTAAAACACGTTTACGTGTGTGACATTTCCATTCGCTGGTGCGCTAGTAAAAACAAAGGCCATGGGCTTCCCTGGTGGCGCAGTGGTTGAGAGTCCGCCTGCCAATGCAGGGGACACGGGTTCGTGCCCCGGTCCGGGAAGATCCCACATGCCGCGGAGCGGCTGGGCCCGTGAGCCATGGCCGCTGAGCCTGCGCGTCCGGAGCCTGTGCTCCGCAACGGGAGAGGGAGAGGCCACAACAGTGAGAGGCCCGCGTACCGCAAAAAAAAAAAAAAAAAAAAAAAAAAGTAGTAAAAAACAAGGGCCATAATGATGTTACATAGAACTACTTAAAAGTCACTCAAACCACAAGTTAGTTTAATAGTCTCAACCTTAGGAAGTCCCATGCACTCTGCTCCTCAGTTACTTAGCTTTATGTAACCTTAATACTTGTCACTCACTGAGATGTACTGAGGGCAAGTGTATGGATATAGAAGACTGTTGACCTGAACATGTAAATGAAGTTCTTGGCCACTAAATAACAATCTAATAGGAGTCTCTTCCTTCCCTAATGCACCTACCCACACTCACCTACAACTTAGTGGTCCAAGACTCAAAAAGATGAAACCCCTGCCCCCCCGTTCAAACACTGATGTGCAAGATTAAATCCCCATTGAGTTTTAAATCAAATTCTATGTTTGGCAAATAAACACTAAGTTACTGAAGAAATGATGCCATAGACTTAAACAAGTACGTTAGACGCAAATATCAAGGATAAATGTGATAGCAACGGTTTTATGTACTTCTTTAACATTAACAACAGTAACTTGGATGGTCTAAAATTTGTAACAGCTAACTGGAACAGGTTGACCTTTTTAAAAAACGTTGAATAACAAGATTCACATTTCAAAAAATCAAAGACATTGTTTTAAGCCTAGGCAATGTAAATAGATATAATTCTTTTGTTTTTAAATTAAGGGAAGGGGAATCAAAAATCCTGCTGGAGAAAAACTACATTGCTTTTTCGATTTTTTTCTGATATAAATTCTTGACAAATGAATGAACATGAACTTAATATTTCTCTGAAAGTTAAGACCAAAACACAGGAGAGAAGAAAAGATGGTTTACAGCCTTTAAAACATAAACAAGCCAATTCAGTTTTCCTCTAGGATTAAAAAACTCCATTTGTCAAGACTTTCTTTTTTCAAAGCAACTTGGGCCACTTGAAACTTGTTCAAGTTTCATTAGTTCTACAGAAAACCGACCAGAACAAATGAAACCCTGTAGAAATGAGGTGGCCATTATCACATCCCTTACATTTGTCTCTCCTCAGGATTTCTGGTTTCTTTACCTTTTTTTTTTTAATTCATGTATAATTGATTTACAATATTACTTTCAGGTGTACAACATAGTGATTCGATATTTTTATACATCATAAAATGATCATAATAAGTTACCATCTGTCACCATATGAAATTATTACAATATTATTGACTATATTTCCTATGCTGTATATTACTTCCCCATTTTTTTTTTTTAATCTTACAACTGAAACTTTGTAATGGTTTCCTTACCTCTGACTTCTTATGGAGATGTAGACAAAACTGTGTCATAAAAATCTCATCTCTGGTTCAGGTCCCAGCAAGCTCTGATCATTTTCTATGCAGAAGCTGCTGTTCCCTAATCCAGGTCAAGGTACACTATGCTAATGAGCTCTGGCAATAATCCAATCAAAATCTAGATGCTCTCAGCTTGGGATAGGTAAGAGTGACCTGGGAGCCACTTAACCAGCCCAATTCTTTGCAGAATGCCAGCAATGTGGTGAATATTCTATAGTACGCCTGTGAACTTTCCCCTTGTTTATGTCAAAAAGGCATTTTAACAGAAATGGACATTGCAAAGATTCTCATGAGGAAGTCCAGATGTTTTCCTTCTTGTAATTTCAAAGTTTGAGCCCAAGGCAGACTGATTAACGGTAGATTCTAATTCCTCCACCATCTACTTCTGCATGTGTACTAGCGAGAGAAGACAGACAGAGAGAAACGTGACAGTGATGGAATTTATTGGAATATATATTGGTTAACCAACATCTCCAAACCAGAAGCACTAAAATGCTGTCCTGCCCCTAACTATGATGCCCCACTAATTCTGAGCATTCTAATCTCCCAGAATAATATAATCCTGCCTTCAAAAGACATTCTCAGCAGTCGGGGCACAGCCCACATTGGTTCAGTTCGCCTGTCATGTTCCAGGCAGTCTGCTAGTCTCTGGAGATACAGGGGATCATTAAAGCCATGAAGAAGTTCAGTGGTGGAAAAGATGAACAGACACTGAATCAGCCTAAGTTAACATGATGCATGGAATAGAGGTAGTCTAGAAGGATGTACAGGGGGAAGGTTTTAAGCTGGAGGGAAAAGACTCAGGGGAAACTTTTTACACCAATAGGATGTCTGATCAGCCTTTTGAAGGACAAATAGTCAAGGCATCAAGGAGTAAAAGAGGTTGCTCTAGGTAGCGGCAACACCATGGGCAAAGGTAAAGTGGTATGACAAGTGTGTGCTCAGCCTGATGAGAAGTCGGTACCTGTAGGAAGGTCCAGACCACCAGAAGGGGGAACGAGCACGCCGGAAGACAAGATGCTGGGGAAGCCTCACCGGCGGTGTTAGGCCCTGGGAGACCTCTGGCAACGTTGGGAAGATGTCTCACTAGGCTTTCAGTTCACGAATGAGCTCCTTCTCCATCTGGAGGTTAAGACCCTGCATGATTTTCTTGTGCTTTTTCTGGCTAATCTCGGTCTGCTCTTTGTAGGCCCTCCTTGGTCAGGATCTTTCTCCACCCCCTGAACAATGGTAGCAGGACACAGCCTGGCATTGTGCCAGCTGGCCAAAGAGAAATGTCCATAGGGTCCAGCTCCAGAATCAGGAAGCAGAGCAAAGAGTGGACGTGGAGCTGAGGGGCAATAAGGTGATCATTGAACCTGCCATGATTATCCACTTGCTCAGGGCTCCTCGCCAGAGCTGTCTTCTCCCCTCTATACATGTACACCCCATCCATCCTTCAGGAGTCCCCAAAATGTCACCCCTTATGATGTCTTCCCATGTTAGTCTAGAGCACAGGATTTCTCACTTCAGTGGTGTTCCAGAACTCTTAACTGAGTTATAAGTTGTCTTACATCACTTAAAACTAGCACTTTTTTTCTTAATTACAAAATAAATTCATAATCTTAAAAAACAACAACAACAACTCATGTTCCCATCTCCTAGAGATTCCCACAGGTAACATTTCGGTCACTCCTTTCAGGCTCTTGTTTTCCTACATACCTCACCAAATGCAGGTCTTACTTTGCATGATTGTAATACGACTGTACGTACTGTTGCTTTAACTGTTCATGCCCGTTAGTCCTAGTTCCCTGCTAAGCTGCTATTTCCTTCAAGGTGAGGTTGGTATCTTCCACTCTTCTTCTCTTTACAGAAGGATCTGCTGGAATCCCAGCCTCAGCAGCAAATCCACCCTTGTCCCTTGACACGGGGGGAACTAAGGTGCTCCGTCTTCACGCTCTGGTTGAGCTCTGACCGTATGTCCCAGACAGGTGACGGCACTTCTGCTCTCTTAAGGCCACGCCCTACATTCTTGCCCAAATTCTCCTAATTGGATCTCCTCTGTCATTGTTATTAATAACAATGGTAATTACGAAAGCTTTCCTTGACCAAACGCTCACTATGTGTCAGGTGCCACGCTGAGCACTTGGTCCTTAGAACATCCCTGTGAGGTAGATGCTATTCTGTAGTCCTCACAACTAC